CCGATGCGGGGCTCGATCCCAGGACCCTGGGATCATGACCTGAGCCGAAGGCAGAGGCTTTAACCCACTGAGCCACCCAGGCGCCCCTAGAGTATAGTTTTATAACTACTTTTGTTTTTTGTTTCTTATAGTCTGAATCTTAGAGTAACATCATCTTTAATTCCAACTTTGCTTTTAAGGCATGTTATATATCCATGAATCAAATGACCTACATTTTCAATATATCATTTATATATAAGGAAGCATTAATTTGCAATCCTAAAGGTTCCTATCATAATGATAATATAATAATACCATCATAATTATAATGTATAAATACAGTATAAGTATCAGTCATTGATAATAATATAAAATAACATGTATTTTACTATTGTATGTATTTTACTAGTCTTATGTTGGATCATAGTATCTTAATTATACAATGGAATGATTCATTTATACTTGTGGGACAAAATGACATTAGTTGTTTATAGATAATTTTTTACCTTTTGTCTTTTACAGGCTGAAGAGAAAGCTCATTCAGAGGTAAAGTTTGTAGCATGCTTGTATTTGACGCTTTGTTTACATTTGTGATGAAATGAATGTTTCCACCACTGGAGGGCTCTATGATACAGTAGCATAGCTGTCCCGTGCTGCTGATGGAAGCAATGCTCTAGTTGTCAAATGGTCTTTGGTATTTCCTCATAAAGAAAATGAAAGGAAGTTTTAAAAGCAAGCCCTCCTCTCACATTCTAGAATGGAGTTTGAGATCAACAACTAACAAATTGCCTGTAGTACTAAGCACTCATTGAGTCTGCTGAATGAATGAATGTGTGGTCTTGCACATTTATTGTAGTCCCCTTTCCCCAGCGCCTACGAGATGAACTGCATAGGATTAATGAAACTGTTGAATCTTGGGCACCAGACCTCCACAATAGAAGCTACCAGCATCCCAGCCCATCTGTTTCATGCCAGAACTTTGCTTCTCTAATAGCCACTTTATGTCTAGTGTGGTATATGGAACTAATCACACACATTTCACAAATACTTTGTCGCAATCATGTACGAATCAGATTCGGAGAGAATATTCTTTTTATTTCCCTTTGCGAAATAATTGTCCTACCCAAGGAGAGCAGGACTTTAATTAGGCCTTTATTCAAGGTGTGGTAATGACTATTTGATTGGCTTACACTGAGGCAATTAGACCACAGAGAAAATCAGTGTCTTGGCAGTAGCCTTTGCAAAGGAACTCCTTGCCTTACTTTGCTTTATGTAAAATTTGTGCTGTGTTAAAAATATCAAAATAGTATTGATTATAGCAATTTGATCTTTATAATTGCTATACAAAAAAGTGAATATGTTTAGGGAAAAAAACCCTAGATTATTTTATTTACATGGACAGGACACTTCTAATTTGATTATAATATGGTTACTGAGGTATTCAAATGTTGCCTATTTGCCTGATTAGTACTTCTCTGACCTTGCCTTGTATCATTCCTCCCCTTAATGGGTCATGGTTTTTTAAAAATAATTTATATTATTAAAAGGTTGCCTAGATTACATTGTAAAGGATCTTATAATAGATACTATTAATTTGAGAAAGGCTCTTTGGCTTTGTATTGGTTTAAGATAAAATAGATGGTCTGTTTTCTGGGACTATCTGTGGTCATCATTCAAATGCAAGTCAAGTCCTATTTGGGGCTAGTGTACCTCCTTTTAAAAAAAACCAGGAACAAAATGAATTCACATTTGGTGAAATTATGCAAGTGTCCACAGTCTCTGCTTCCAGCTTAAAGTCCACAACTTTCTTTGAGTTCCTCAATGTTGACTACCATTTCTTTTCCACAAAAGAGGGGGGAAGAAAAAAAAGACAGTTAATGAACTATGTCAGGAATGCTCTTTCAAACTGAGACAGTATCCCAAAAGTCCACCCATGGCAACAGAGACTTCTTTTTGCAGAAATGAGAAGAATTAGAGTGCAATGTTTGGCATCTAAGTAACTAAGAACCTTTGAGACCAGAAGTCTACTTATAGATTTAGCCTCAGACAGTAGTTGATGTTTTACCCTTACTAATCTGTGTTTACATGTCTCAGCAACAGGAGGCATGCAGATTTATTTGCAGAAAGTGCTTATATTAACCATTTAAATTCGATATGAAATATTACCTTTATTTGGTTCAATTTTATTCTACTGTGAACTTAGCTAAAAAGGAAGGCAACTAGCATATTTATTTTGTTGGCTTATCTAATTATTTGAACAGTATTACTAAATTCCCCCTCAGTTTTAAACTATAGGTAATCTATAAAGCATTTCTTCTCTGAATTAATAGTAACTCAATGAATAACAGGAATTATAATAAAGATTTGGGAAGGCTTCTCTGAGTGTTAGTCATTGAAACTCTACCTAATAAAATTATTTTCAAATACGGACTCAATATATCTGGAAATAAGCCAACTTTCAGGGACTCCAGGATAGTCTACAGCTTCTGAGAAGTTGCCAAACTACAGAAAAATTAAAATAAGCATGCATCCAAAAAACTGAATTTTTTTTTTTTTGCTAAAACTCCATGCTAAACACCATGCTAGAATATTCAGTACTTTTTGCTAAAAGAAGACCTAGAAGAAATGTGTACGTGTATATTTAGTTTTTAAAAAGAAAATATTTTACTGCCTGAGTTTTATTATCACTAATTCCCAGAGCTAGAAGAATCAACAGAGAAAGTCAAGTGATTCTAGAGCCAGGCAAGTAGAACCATGGAGCAAGGAAGCATCCTTTAATTTGCACATTTGAGTCCTAACCTTGAACATAGTCACTTACCTCTCCTGACCCGTGGCATTTGACTGTTACTATATATATATAGCTAGTGTTCACATTTCTTTGGCTTTTCAGGAATTAGTACTGATACACTAATTAAGAGGTTGCATGAGCGAAATATGGTATTTGCTTTCTTGGATTGAATTCTTAGTTTTAAGGAAAAATCTAGCTTATTGAACTGATCTTTTTAAATTACACTCAGCAAATCCACAAACTGCGGCGAGAATTGGTTGCATCACAAGAAAAGGTTGCTACCCTCACATCTCAACTTTCAGCAAATGTAAGTCACTTTTTATTCTTTTTTGATATATTAAAACAGATTTGTATGTAGTAAATGGGATAATTTTGCAAACTTTAAATGTCCCAAAACAGTCTTCAGTCACTCATATAAAGGTGAACTTTCCTGCACACTGAGTAATGAAATGTAAACCCTAATTGACATAGTTAATTTTTATTTCTTCTAAAGTTGGAAATATTAGTAACAGTTTCAAGGGTTATCTCTTTTCTTATGTTTTATTTTTATTACTCTCCTTAGATTTTTTTTTTTTCAAGCCACCACACGGTTGGGGGTTGATAGCTATTAACTTTGGAAGATAAAAAATTCTATGTGCCCTGACTTCTTCAGTGCAATTTACTGGGCAATTAGTTAAGCATCCAATTAAATCCCACCCCCCGCCCAAAATTAGGTCCAAATTTGGGTATCCGAGCAATACTGTAAATGAGAGATAGCTCTCTTAAAAATTTTGGCAGCCTTCTCACAACAGTTTGACCCATTGAGAATGGCAAAAAGGATGCCAACAAAGACCATCAATAATATTAACATTTATTGGATATCTTTCAGTGTGCCAGGGAGTCCTGAGAACAGATGCAGAATAGTACAGGGGAACGTGTAGCATTGTGCCTGGTCCTAAGCAGCATAGTGTCGGAAGCAGCAGTGAGGAGTAAGGAAGCTCCTGCTGTTTTGCCATATGTCCTGCCACATCCATTCAACATTAAGCTGCTCAGTTGGATGGTGTAGCTTTGGGACCCTCATCTGCCTCACCAATCCCTACTCTCCATTGAGGTTTTTCTACGTCCTGGACAAAGCAGGACATAGCAAGAGAGAGCAGGTGTAGTCCCACAGGGTAGAACTTGATTAAGAGGGATTTTAAGGATAAAAAGTATTGTGTAATATAACTTCCACAGCATGTAAGTAAGTCATTTCACTCACCGTAGATTCATTTTAGCAGTGTGTTTGAAGGGGTTTTATCTTCTCAACCTTGGGAGAATCAGATTCATTTGGGATTGTGTGTATTTATTTTTATAGATGTTGTCGGGGGATTGTTAAAACTCATAGTTTTAGAGAATTTTGGGGCAATACTGGAAGAGAATGGAATTATTTAAGCTATAGTTCACATCTAAGAATAAGTCTTAAATATTTCAGAAGCAGCTATAAATTTTATACTATAGGCTGGATGAATAATAGCATAAAATACTCTGTCTGGGCTCCTGAATCTTTACCAAGAGGACATATGACAGTGTAAATGCCAAAAACACACTGGGTTGGGTTTATCTGCAATGAGGAAGGCTCAGTGACAGGCCCTATGCCTTGGATAACCAAGATATTTGCGGATGTCTTTAATGATTCATCAGGATTTTACTTTATTGTGTAAATGTCTCTCCCATGAATTTATATATGCAGCTATTAGCATAATAAACATCCTCTCTACATTATGGAATTGGGGCTTTTACAGTATTTTTTAAACTGTTGCCATTTAAAAAGCATTACATGCAAGTATATAATAAAAAATATATATTTGTTTTTCCCTCAGATACCCTTCCTAAATATAGTTGTTGGGTTGGGGTGGGGGTAATTGTTGACACATGATGTGACATTGTTTTCAGGTGTGCAGCTTAGTGATTTGACAAATTTGTGCATTATGCTACGTTCACTGCAAGAATTGGTGACCATCTTTTCCATTACATCACTATTACAATATCATTAACTGTACTCCTTATGCTCTGTTTTCTGTTCCCATGATTTGCTCATTCCATGAACTGAGGCCTGTGTCTCCCTCTCCCCTTCACCTATTTGTCTACCTGCTTTCCCTCTGGCCCCCATCAGTTCATTCTCTGTATTTATAGTTCTGGCTCTGCTTTTTGCTTGTTCTTTTTTTTTTTTTTTTTCAGATTTCATTTATAAGTGGAACCATACGCCATTTGGTTTTCTCTTTTCTCTCATTTGTGTTTCACTTAGCATAATAACTCAAGGTCCATTTATGTTGTCTCAAAAGGCTCAATCTCATCCTTTTTTATGACCATGTAATGTTCGGTTGTTAGTTTCTTGTATTTCCTTTCAACATTGATCTGTTTTTATAGCCATGAATACAGATACGCAGTACACACTTGCAAAGGCTTGCATGTACGTGCACTTGTACACACACACACACACACACACACACACACAGGAGCAACCAAATTTTAACATAAGGGAGCAGTCCTGAAATTTGACTCTGTGCCATTGTTTGGAAAGGGAACAAAAATATTTTAAAGGTGTCAGTCTTTGCCTACCTACCACTTCTGCTCCAGTCATACAGACCACACTGATTTTCACTGATGTGTTTGCATGACCTTACCTCAGATATTCTCAGCAGAGCATTGGTATGACCACCAGAGGGTGAAAATTGTTTTTTTTTTTGTTTGTTTGTTTTGTTTTTTTTTTTTGGTGAAAAATCTTATACCTTTTATCCATAAAGCAATTACACATAGAGTACATAAACAGGTATCCCACATATCTATGGTATTATAACATCATGGAGAAAGGGGGCTATTAGGAAAAAAGCATCTACAATGTCTCCTCAAGGAACAATAATGGAAAAAGGAATGAATACAGAATTAGAGGAAGTAGTGTCAAATAGACAATTTTGTTTAAAAAGTGCTGGTCTTAGAGAAAATGCCCAAATGTCTCCAGCTTCCCCTCGCCACATCTATGTTACCCTTAGTAGTGCTTTTTGCACACAGATGGGAGCCTAAATTATATCCTATTTTGCATGCCTTTTTTTTTCACTTCATAATACATTTTATAAATATTCTGAAATCACCTTAGAGCCACAGAAAAAACTATATATATAGCAACTTTATTTTTTTAAAAATCACTAACAACCAAAATATCCCTTCATATGTCATTGGATAAAACAAACCATGATAAATTTCTATCATGGTTTACTACTCGGTGGTCTTGTATGTCGATGTCAATTTGTATTTTTACACATATAATCTTCATACATTTAGAAATTCGAATTACTCGTAAATTACCTATTCACTGTAAATCATTATGAACTTACTTTCTTTACCGTTTGGTTTACAATGTCGCTTCAGATCTCAGAGCATATGAATCATCAAGGAATTTTTTTGTTAATATTTTATTTTTTCTAAAAAACAGTTCTAAAAAATACTGCATTTAAATTTCATTCAGAGAATATGTTCAGATGTTCAAAGTAACAAATTCAGATATTTGCTAATATCTGTTGGTGTGTAATATATGCATATATTATACATGTACAGAAATTAAATTAATCGTAAGACCGAATGAAATTATCTGTACAGAACTCTTTAATATAAGCCAAAAGTTATTTGTAACCTTGTAATCGTATTTGGAAGTAGAGATAAACCTTGTATTTTTTTAGTTTATTTAGACTAAAAGAGTAAAACCTTTATTTAGACAAAAGCTTTATTTAGACTAAAAGAGTAAAAGAGTAAACCTTTTAGTTTCTGGTTAAATAAGATCACTACAATGAGCATGATTGTAGAGAAGTGAAGTAGCAAAAGCCATGATTTTTTAAAGATTTTATTTATTATTTGAGAGAGCGAGCGAGCAAGCACAAGCAAGGGAAGTGGTAGGCAGAGGGAGAAGCAGATTACCTGCTGAGCAGGGAGCCCTACGCCAGGCTTCGTCCCGGAACCTTGGGATCATGACCTGAGTCAAAGGCAGACGCCCAACTGACTGAGCCACCCAGGCGCCCTGAGACAAGATTTTTATTAATTGTTACTTTTTGAAATTTAATGATTATTTAAGTATCTAGATATTCATTTTTTACTCAATATTTAATCACTCTATCAGGACTAAAATGATTTTCCTTAATTTGGGGTTTGTTTGTTTTTTTAATTGATCTCTTAGTTGATCTGTGTTTGGTCCAGGCAATAATCTTTTTATAAAGAGTCCACACAATAATCCATGTTTCAATTTTTACATTTGCTTCTCTACTAAAATGCTTCTTCCCCACTTTGTTAAAAGGAGCAGCAGCGGGTGCGCCTGGGTAGGGCAGTCGGTTAAGCATCTGACTCTTGGTTTTTGCTCAGGTCATGATCTCAGGGTTGTGAGATCAAGCCCCATGTTGGGCTCTGTGCTCAGAGTGGATTCTGCTTGAGACTCTCTTTCCCTCTCCCCCTGCTTTTTCTCTCTCTCTAATAAATAAATAGATCTTAAAAAAAAAAAAAAAAAAGGAGCAGTGGTAAATTAGAAAGGGGTCCAACCAACTCACTCCTCATTTGACTGGTAAAGTAAACCTTCATTCAATAGAATGTGCACTGAATCTTCCCATCCACTTTTGAAGTTCTCTGATTAGAGCTTCAGAAAGCCCCTGGAGGACTCTCTGTAAAGCCCTTTCTACTAGGATGTTTTTAGAAAGGAGAGAGGGTATGTTGGCAGACACTGCTGTCCAACCTTCCCTGAATCAGTACCCCACCTATGAACAGGAAGAAAAGAGGAGCGCCCCAGCAAGCATCTGTGAACATATGGTCATATCATGCAGTCAGCCAGGGGCCCTCTGGCCTCTCACCGGCACCTCCCTTCAGCCAAGTCCGATGGGGACCATTAGTTTATGTTCTAATATGTTTTGTTGATGAACCTCAGCTCTTACATATTTAGAAATGGGTACTAAGACGTTATTATTTCCATTTTTCAAAGATATCACTGAATGAATATGTCACAAAACAAAGGGTACTTTTTTTTTTTTTTCCTTTCAGCACATATGTCTTTTAGCCAAAAATCTCTCGGGTATTATTTTGTTTAGGATTGTGTCCTATTTTTTTGCTCTATTTAATATTTTTGTGTATTCCGGCAGTTACTCTTGCTTTTCTGCATCTCCTTTTACAGAAAACAATTTTGCACGTATTAACAATGACAAACACTGAAGGAACGCTTTTATGATGTGTAAAAGAAATGCGAAACGTTATTTATGATAATTTCAGAATCATTTTCAGTTCATCTATTGATTTTCAAATGTGAAGTCACATTTATATACATCTCCATATAAATCTATGTGTATCTTTTTTGGTTGATGGACCGTCACTAAATTCTGGGTGAGTGAGTACAATGCAGGCACTTTTTGTAATTTTCCATCTTACTGTTTAGCAGCACAATAATTCCCTTTATGTATAGATTCAGATTATATTATGGGATTCTAAAACTAAAGACAGTATATACTAGAAATACCTTCCCTTAACTAATATTCATCCGTGTCTATTTTATTCCCTTGACAAACTTCACCTAACACAAGTCAGGGATTGTATCATAGTGATACGATTTTACTCTGGCTTGAAAATTATGCAGCTGGTAATGAAAAAAATGAAGCAAGTAAACCGTGATCAATAGCCCCCCTAAGAATCCACAATTTTGGGACACCTGGGTGGCTCGGTGGGTTAAGGCCTCTGCCTTTGGCTCAGGTCATGGTCCCAGGGTCCCAGGGTCCTGGGATGGAGCCCCATATCGGGCTCTCTGCTCAGCGGGGAGCCTGCTTCCTCCTCTCTCTCTGCCTGCCAATCTGCCTACTTGTGATCTCTCTCTGTCAAATAAATAAAATCTTTAAAAAAAAAAAAAAGAATCCACAATTTTAAAAAAGTCATCATTTTATTAAGTTTTTCAGGTAAGATCTATTGTTCTATACTCAATTGGTTTTACTTTCCATTTTCCTTCCACTGAGGTGACAAAGATCATCACTGGTAGGAATGGTATCTGTTATTGGTCTCTTGGACTCCCTTTCCATTAATCCAACTGGTGAGAAATTTAACCTGTATTACCTTCAAAGTAACAAAGTTAATCTGATAACCTAAGCCAAGGCCACATAAATTTAAAGCAGTATTTCACTAACATACTCACAACATATTTTTCATGGAGAATAATGTGACTTAAAATGTTCTTTGGTAACCACTTACACGTTTTCGTACGAGTAATTAATGAACAGCAATGTTCCAAAAATTAAAAACTGACATTGTCATAGTGAACGTTTTGTATTAACTAATAGCTATGAAATACAGGCAGTATATTTATTCAGCATATTCACATTCCTATTTTCTTTGTCGTATTTTAACTCCTGTTTAACTGAGAAAATATGCATAGAAGGTAAAAGTAAAATTTCCTTCCGAGTTTTTACATTCAAGTTTATATATCTGATAATTAAGCTGTACAGTTGTTTGGGAGAATTAAAATTGCAATATTGAGTAGAATCTTGCGTTTCTTTTAGTACATATTAACAGTGGTTTCCAGCCAGAATTTCCTCTATTCTAAAAGAAAGTGAGAGATTTTATTTTAGGATTTAGTATCCCATTGTATAGTCACAGCAGGATTATTGTTAATAACCTCAATGGGAATCAGCACAAATGGTCAATCGTGGACAAATATATTATAAATCATAAAGCAATGTATTCCAGCAAAAATCTAACTCCTGTGACATACCACATGTTTGAATCTCAGAAACACAATGTTAAGAAAAGGAAAATAGTCACAAAAAAATTGTGGCACATGATTCCACTCTGATAGTTTTAAAAATAGAAAAGCTAAAAGATAGTGTTTAGAGATGCAAGCTTTGTTGTGTAACTATAAAGAGAAGTAAGAAAATAATTATCATAAGTGTTATAAGAATAGTGGTTATCTTTGGGGCAGGGAGAGGGGAACATAGAGGAAAGGTAAGGGAACACTTCTACAATCTTCTTGACGTGGCTGGTGACTGTATGAATGTTCACTGCTTGAGAGACCAGTGAGCTGTGCGTTTTCATTTGGTTCACTTTTAATATGGTTAATATGGTTTAATATGGTTTTGTTCACTTAAAAGTTTTTTACAATAAAAAAGTTTATGTATGAGAGAAAATGGAACGTAACCTTATGTTAATCTCTGATATAGTCCTAAGTCTGATGTAAGGATATTCCTTGTTGTTGGAAACATTTTCAACTACGAGATACTGTTCTTTTTTTTTTTTTTAAGAGTGTTATTTATCCTAATAAGTCTGCTAACTAGCCTTGGAATATAATTCTCAAGGTTATGTGCATGTGTGTGTATGTATGAGATTGAGAGAGAGAGAGAGAGAGAGAGAGACAGTTGGTGGGGCGGGGGTTGGGGAGATAGAGGCAAGAGAGAGTGGAAAAAGAATAAAGATTTGTGCTGGTGGACTGAAGATTAATTGAAGTATTCTTCACAAATGATCTTTATATTGTTGTGTCAGGAAAAGAAAGGGAGCACAAGATAAGCTCAGAGCTAGGAACAAAGATGCCTTTATATGTAATACTAATGAAAGAGACTTGTACATTCTAGCTGTTACCAATAATGGAATAAACTTCTTGCTGTTATCAGTAGTGGAATAAACTTCTAGCTGTTACAACTAATGGAATAAATTTCTAGTGCCCTAATTCTTGGGACTCCTAGCATCTGTCTGATAATAGCTACCTCAGCTTTTCAGCTCTACTAGAGTAACAAGGTGACGTATTTTAATAAGTCCTTTTACTCCCTTCTCTTAAAAAATTAATCTTTTGCCAAGGATTGCCAAATTTCCCCACCCTTGACACGTATAGTTTTTTACAGATGTAAGGTGTAAAATATTCTATCATTGTATCTTTGTAAGGGAATAATAAAATTTGATCAGTCTAAGATAAGACAGGATGAGACTGGGGAGGGAGACAAACCATAAGAGACTTTCAATCTCAGGAAACAAACTGAGGGTTGCTGGGGGCTGGGAGGGGTAGGGAGAGGGTGGCTGGGTGATGGACATTGGGGAGGGTATGTGCTATGGTGAATGCTGTGAATTGTGTAAGACTAATGATTCACAGGCATGTACCCTGAAGCAAATAATACATTATATGTTAATTAAAATATATAACTAAAATATTTTTTTAAAGGCACCTGTAGCTCTCCTCCAGCAACAGTGAGAGATTGAAGCATCTCTCCATGCTTAATATTCTGTGGGTGAAGCTGTTGGATAATGGCGTGCCAACAGAGACTGGCCTATTCAAGAGCTGTAAGATTGTCAAATACTTCTTAATCATAAGAGTTAGTGTCTTATACCTCAATATGTATAATTCCCTGAGATTTAAAATAAAACCCAAAAGCCATGAAAACTTAAATAAAATATGACTGAATATCATCTCTAGCTGGCCTCCCCGCACTTCCTTAGTTGAAGGGAATAAAGTAGAAATAAAAGCCCTATTATTGAAAGGAGTTTGGAAAGTGAAGACAACTCTTTCTGATTCCATTCTTTGTACACACAAAAAGAGGAAAGATCGTGTGTTAGCTGTCAGCAGATGTCTGACACTTGAAGGAGAGGATCATTACAACGAAGGAGCTAACAATATCTCCAAAGGTCATCATACACGTATAAAAATGAGAAACATTTGTCCATTGACTGTGGCAGTGGCCTCCTCTTGAGCTTTAAGTCTAAAAACTTGGCAACTCCGAACTTTATTCAGTATTTTGGGTGTCAAATCCTCTGTGATATGCAAGTCAGAAGGTGTTGTTATTTGCAAAATACCATCCTTTTTCAGAAGTTGAACTCACATTAAATGTCAAGAGATGGAAGCGCTGAATTTAAACTGAAGTTTAGAAATGACATAAACAAAGATTTACATTGAAGGAGAGTCGTCATTGAAAGCTAACCATGATGGTCATAGTATTTAAAGAGTTAGAATACCTGAAATTAAGCATTTTATAAAATCAAGAGTTGTCATCCATCCACATAAGGTTCTGACATTCAAAACGTGTTCCTTCCATTTTTGTTCCCAGGCTCACCTCGTAGCAGCTTTTGAGAAGAGTTTAGGGAATATGACTGGCCGACTGCAGAGTCTGACCATGACAGCAGAACAGAAGGTATGTCCAAGAAATGCCACGGGGGGCTTGATATAAGACAGCAAGTTGCAGAGAATGTTTAAACAATGCATGAGGGGCAGCTCCTTAAACATGATGTGGCAGAGGATACATTACACACTAAACTGGAAAATGACAAGATAATACTTTTTCTTTTCAGATTTTAATTTTTAAAGACATATGATTCAGTTTAACCCATAGCAGAGCACACACATCACATACACACACACACGGGCACACACACACAAAGTTCTTCCCAGGCAGTCTATTATTTTACTCCCGGTTGGACCTATTAAAAGAATACCAATGTTTAGGAAGAGAAACAGTTGTATAGGAGAAGAGTTAGAATATTCTAGGAACAACTTGTTATACAGTTGGCAAGAATTGCACTCCGATAAGAATTTTCACAAACACGTGGTCTGCAAGCCCAGATACAGATGATGGCTATAAGCAGAGATAGCTGTGGAGAAAGTCTGGAGGAGAGGTGAGGACTCTGTAAAGGAAGGGGCTCACGTTACAGCAGCTGTGGGACAAGAGGCTGAAACACTGATCCTGAGCTGAAGTTTAGAAATACAGAATGCTAGATGAAAATTTGTGTCCTTTTGGAGTAATGGGGATTAGTTTGCATCTGGGATTGCTGTCTTTGAAAAGTAAAGTTAACTCGTATCAAAAATCTTTAAATAAACCCAAAGAGTTTTATGGAAGGGGGAAGGAATTCTAAAAAGAAAGAAACAGAGAATTTAGTTCATGAGGCAAACATATCAAAAAGGCTCATGTTGCCAGGAAAGAATATGGACACTTTCCATGGGAGGACCAGTAACTTACCTGTCAGCCATTATTTTGGTAACCCTGACCTGAGACCTTGGATCAGTGTAAGAGACGGATGAAGTGTCTAAAACTATATGGAAACATTTCTAAAAACTGCATATGGGCATAATGTGAGCAAACGTCCATAGTTTTCATCTAATTTCCAAAGAGATCCAAAATCAAGAAAGCTTTGGATATTTTCAGAATCAGTACCTATTTCTGTCCTGAGAAATGGCTTCAGTTTTGTCTTCAGTTCTGCAAAGTATGTCATTAGCTTTAGAGAACTAGTATATGTTACCATTTCATCAGTTTACCATTTTTTAAGTTAAAAAAAAAAAACCAAAAAACAAAAAACACCTAACAGACCAATTAAACTCAGGAGAAAACCAAATATTCCTGTACTAGCCTGGTGTAATTAGCAAACTCTGTTTTATTTGCCCTTATCTTCATTCTCCTGTTTCAGAGATTTTCCCCTGCCCATGGAAGAGAATACTGTGCATCCCTGTCAAACCTGTTCTGTAAGGGAAGGTGACAAATGCCTCTTGAACATAGGAATTTTATCTTCATCTTTTTTTGAAGGGGAGAGAAGCCGCCCAGTTTACCACTTCACTATGTAACCTAAGAGCTCAGCAAACAGGATGACGAGGTCATTTAGAGCAGCCAAGTGGGGAAGAATATGAATGTTGGAGCCCAAGAAAGCTTGAGTATGAATCTCGGGGACCCTCTTAAGAGCTGTAGAATCTTCTTTTGCTGACCCTCACGGTCATCATTTTAGAAGTCAGGTTTATAATAACTACCTTGCAGAATCACTCTGAGGAATAAGCAAGATACTATCTAAGGCCACACACGGTGGATAGTCCAAAAAAAAAGTTACCTTTCTTTACATTTCCCTCCTTTTTTCCCTTAAAAAAATGTAGGTTAAACCAAATTCATCATTGGCCATTTGCCGGTGTCTTGCTAAAAATCATGGTTAGTATTCAAGTCTCAGTGTCTTCAAGAAATCAAAATTAACATTTTTTACCATCCCATATTTCCTTTGATTCTTTTGTATTTATAAGTTAAACTTCTTATAGATATTGAAAAACTATGACGCATTTGTTAATTTGTAATGCCTCTGAATAATGCCTGAGTGTTTTTAAAATGTATCTGCATAATATGCGGAATTTTATAACTGTGTGCACATTAACCATAAAGGAACATTGCCGAAGCTATAAAATTTTCTCAGAAGATATCATGGTGTCTGAAATTGCCTTGCCATTTTTTAACTGAAAATAAAGTGATTGCATGTCTCATAGCAAGCCGTACACACACAACAACATTAGTAATTGGTTTATTTTACTAATCTGAGATTTATAACTTGCGTACTTCCAAGGTGGTTTTGGGAATCATAAAATTAATTGCAATATGAAATGGCACAATTCCATAACAGAATCTAGTGCAAACAAGCAGAGGAATGTATATAACAAGATGCCTGAGCCTATGTAATCGGTACCACAAAGCACTGAAAGGAGTTGAATGTCAAGGAGGCTAAGGCACAAAGGGAGATTGCTTGGCCTGTCTGTTCTCATTTTCTGACCAGAAGAGCATAATTTAGATCAAAGAGACAAACTTTTTGGCACTGAATTCAAGGACAAATTTATTGTAAAGTTTCTTAAATTGGGGTCATGGAATAACAAAAGGCAAAACCGCTGTTCAAATAGACATTTCTCTAAAAGCTGAGGGCATAACATTTAATCATATTTCAGTAAAGTCATTTCTTCAGGGAGCTGAGATAAAAGGGTATATTGCTCTCTGGTGATCCAACAATCCTGGGAAAAAGATTAGTGCATATAGAGCAGAGGTTTTGAAACTCTGTTCTTCGAGTTCCAAGGCTCATTTGTCCATTTAATCATTCACCAAAGCTATGTTGAATTTCTACTGTGTATGAGAGATGGCTCTAGCTAGTGAGAATTCAGCAGTGAAATATATATATGTAGGTAACATATACTACATATAATATATGTATGCATTTTATTTATATACACATACACACACATGCTGTTTACATCCTAGTTTATAACTGGTTAAAATATAAAATAGAGTTTATTTTCTAATAGGTGACAGATTAGGATTAAAAATACAGGATTTCAGGTGAGGATAAGCACCACTGAGAATGTTGAGAGTGAGGATGTTGGGAGGCAAGGTGGGATGCTAACACATGAAGCAACAAAAGCCAAGATGGTTACATGGTCTTGGCTACATACTTAAATGTAAATGAAGCTGGGACTCAAATCCAAGTGTCTGGACTTCTTCTGGCTTCAAAGTATGATTTTCAACAATCATATGGCATTAATAGCCTGAAAGCTGTATGAAAATTTTAGCTTGATTTTATAAACCAAGTCCACTTCCTTGAATAGTGTCTTAAAATCTTTCCTTGTTCCCAGGTGCCGTATCTGGAATCCTGGTTCTCTTACCAGAGCACTGCTTTTATACATTTATAGCCTGGTGAGAAAGAAAAGACATGTATGAATCGCTCAGGAGGCAGAAAATTTGGGGTGCCATTGGAAATATAATAATAGTGTCCTGAGAGGGCTCACAGGGGACCACCGCATCTTGACTTTGGTTCCAGAAGTGAAGATGGCACGGATGGAAGTAGGGGTAGGGGTAGAAGATGGCACGGGTGGAAGATGGGAGTAGATGCGACACAGAGGGGGCCCTTTGGGCTCTAGGAGGATGAAAAAGAATAATTCCAGGAAAACGGAGGACTACGTGTCGTAGAAGAAGGGGCACAGTGAGCATGAGCAGCAAGGAGGGATATTAAGGGAGACATTAAGGGACGTGGAGAGGGAAAACGTGAAACTAAGGCTAGAAAGATGTCTAGGGAATCTGGTCCTTGAAAACAAGGAGCCATTCCAAGGCTTTTGACTCTAAACTAACATGATAAAAGTTAGTTAATGAAGATCAGTTCATCAGCATTTTCCGACAGTTTAACAGCATCCTCAGTAGCCACTGGAAGGCTACGTGCTACATAATAGTAAGTTTATAAGTAGGGAAAATTGAGATACTTGTCATGAATGCTTGTTGGCTGGAGAGAGAAATTGTCTCTAAGTATTGCCCTATACCTAACCTAAGGTTCAACAGATGGCAACACTGACATAGTCTGATCAAGAATTTTGCCTGGAGGGGCGCCTGGGTGGCTCAGTGGGTTAAGCCTCTACCTTTGGCTCAGGTCATGAGCTCAGGGTCCTGGGATCGAGCCTCACATCGGGCTCTCTGCTCAGCAGGGAGCCTGCTTCCCCTCTCTCTCTCTGCCTGCCTCTCTGCCTACTTGTGATCTCTGTCAAATAAATAAATAAAATCTTAAAAAAAAAAAAAAGAATTTTGCCTGGATTTATGGTCCTTGTCCCTTTATTAGCACTTCTCCATCAAGACTCTTTGAGAGAATGAAGATTTAATGGCCTGAGATATCTATTATAAGTGATAAAAATAACTTTTTTCTCTGCGTCTAGAGTGGTACGACCTTTGTACCATCCTTGTCAGAACTGAAAAAAAAATGCCATTCAAATTTTTGTTCAGCACTTTATTTTCTTATAGAATACCAGATGACAAAGGCTATAATGCAAGTCATCAAAATGGCAAGAATTTTACAAATCTGTATTTTTATGAATGAATTTTTTTCAGAACTACTGCTAAATTCCAGCAAACTTACTAAGGCTATACTCACTGATAATTTGAAGACTTTCAAATTATTTCCCTGTAGCAGTTGTGCCAGAGGCCATTAGAACATATATTGAGGTGTACTTGGTTAGTCTTTTTAGAATGTCAGAACACAGGGGCACGTGGGTGGCTTAGTTGATTAAATGTCTGACAGAGTTGTGATACTGAGACCCACATCCAGCTCCCTGCTGGGCGTGAAGCCTGCTTAAGATGCTCTCTCTGCCTCTCTCTCTCTCTCTCTCTCTCTCTCTCTCAAAATCATTAATTCACAGGAATGTCAGAGACAGCAGAGGGATATCTTTTTGTAGAAGTGGTAGAGCTCAGATATTGATCCTCATGCCAACTGTAAAGTCTGGGGTTTGCTCATTCTTACTTCTGTGAAGCTACTTTTTTGGTGACTAGATAAATAGACACTTAAGCATTAAAAATGAGAAAATGCAAAGCCAATTATCTGAAAATAGATAATGTGGAACTAGCTAAAAATTTCATTGAATTGGGTCTTTATATTAACTCTTCCCATTTCAGGTTAAAATATTTGTCATATAGAAGTGTTTTTAAAAATGTATCACTAGAGGGGCACTTGGGTAGCTCAGTGGGTTAAAGCCTCTGCCTTTGGCTCAGGTCATGATCTCAGGGTCCTGGGATCGAGCCCTGCAATGGACTCTCTGCTCAGCATGGAGCCTGCTTCCCCCTCACTCTCTGCATACTGTGATCTCTCTCTGTCAGATAAATAATAAAATCTTTAAAAAATATGTATCACTAGAGTCAGAAAATATGTTCATTAGCCTTTTAGAGCATAGGATAACTTGAATCCATGTTATTCATGGAAACAGGTTACTTGCACTACTGGAATTCGGGGAACTTAGAGCATTTTGTTAGAGTCAGGGCTGGTTGGGTTCTTTCAGTAGAAAAATTTACAAGCTTTCAAGGCACACACATAGGCATGGAGAGTAGGACATGTTCAAAGAAGCTACAGCTAGATAGTGTAAGATTAACTGAGTGTCAGTTTAAGGAAGCAAAAGCAGGTTTAGTGCAAATTTTTAAGTCTTGCCTAGAAGGTCAAATTGGTTGAGCCAAGTTTGTAGGATTTTCAGCAAGGCCTGTGTCCAGAAGAAATTTGGAAGGAGGTCAGATGCAGTTACGAAATTAGGATGGAAGAGACACTAGGTTAGGGCTAGCATTATAACAAAGTATTTGATCACCTCATTTTGAAGCATTCTAAGTCTGACCTTGATAACTCAGTTAGCCTCAGAGACATGTACAAAGCAGTTAGAAAAGATACTGGCTCCATCCAGCTTGTTTTACACGAGAAACTGTCTTGGAAAAAGCAGATGTCTGGGGCATTGTTATCTTGAAGAGCTTATTATAGGTGAATGAAGTTTCAGTTTAGTTCCCACTTTTGAAAAGTGGAAAAATACGAACAAAGTATAATCTGATCATCTATTCCCAAGATCCTGTACAGAATCATCCTAAGTCCTGTCTTCTCTTTAGTATATAATGAAGAGAGCGGAAACTGGAAACTACTGAATTAGAAGAGGCATTAAACCCATATCTTGATGGCATATACATTTTCCAGGTTTTTCTTCTGAAAGTTGAATAGAGAGTCTCAAAACTGAAGTATCTTTTATTTGGTTCCCTTCAAAATAAAGAGACTAAATGAAAATATTTCAGAGTGTCAAATGATTTTATATTTGGCTATTTCTAGAACTTGCTTCTTACTATATTTCTGATCTACTCCACACCAGGGCCCCCCCTCAAAAAAAGAGGATTTCATAATTGTACTTGGAAGCAGCATTGTAATTTCTAAGCATTATAGTCATCTTAGAAAAATATAACTTAAGGGATACCCTGGGTGGCACAATCAGTTGTGGACCTGACTCTTGGTCTTAGCTCAGGTCGTGATCTCAAGATAGTGATCTTAGGGTTGTGATATCTAGCCCCACCTGGGGCCCTGTGCTCAGCTCACAGCCTGCTTGGGATTCTTTCTTCCTCTCCCTCTACCCATCCTGCTTGAGTTCTCTCTCTAAAATAAATAAATAAATATTTTTTTAAAAAGATATATAGCTTAAAAATAAATGTGAACCACCAACTGTAATTATGAAGAAGAAAGAAAAGAAGACTAGAAACAAACTATTATAAAACAATTTCTATGTCTCAGCCAAGTTTTCATTTTAAAGTGCTTTTATTAATCTTTATATACTTACTACTGGAAGAGAGAATGGGAAACCTGACTTTGTTGCCATCCTTAATTTTAGGGGCACCTGGGTGGCTCAGTTAATTGAGGTTCTGCCTTTGACACGGGTCATGAACCCCAGGGTCTGGGGATCGAGCCCCACATCGGAGTCCCTGTTTAGCCGGGAGTCTGCTTCTCCCTCTTCCTCTGCCCCTCCCCCTGCCACTTGTGTCCGCTCTCTCTCAAATAAATAGATAATCTTTTTAAAGAAGATACTTAATTTTAGGGGGTGCCTGGGTGGCTCAGTGGGTTAAGCCGCTGCCTTTGGCTCAGGTCATGATCTCAGGGTCCTGGGATCGAGCCCCTGCATCGGGCTCTCTGCTCAACAGGGAGCCTGCTTCCTCCTCTCTCTCTCTGCCTGCCCCTCTGCCTACTTGTGATCTCTGTCAAATAAATAAATAAAATCTTAAAAAAAAAGGATACTTAATTTTAAAAGTGATCATTCTTCTATCTCATATTAAATGCAGTTTTCTGAAAAAGCAATATTCCCTGAGCATTCCACTTCTAATCTTTTTAAAAACAGTTTTAGGGGAGCCTGGGTGGCTCAGTGGGTTAAAGCCTCTGCCTTCGGCTCAGGTCATGCTCCCGGGGTCCTGGGATCGAGCCCCGCATCGGGCTCTCTGCTCAGCAGGGAGCCTGCTTCCTCCTCTCTCTCTGCCTGCCTCTCTGCCTACTTGTGATCTCTGCCTGTCAAATAAATAAATAAATCTTTAAAAAAAAAACAGTTTTGAGGAGAGATTTCTCTAGAAAAGATTAAAGTTTAGACATTGAAATAAGTCAGCTTACTCATAAAATTAAGCTGTATTTTTTAGACCTTTGCATGAGATCTCATTCCATTTTTCTTCCTTCAACCTAAGGCCACATTTTTCAGCAGGTTTTTTTAATCCATAGTACAAGCATTCTTGATTTTAAATTCAAGGATGAAAATCTGATTTTCGTTAAAATTTAATGTGTATTCTAGTCTATATGTTGTAAAATTACTATTTAAATTATGTGATTCATTAAGTATGCACTATAGAACTCCTTTTGTGAAGTTTTCTGGTAAAGGTAGAATGAATTTCTGTAAATATTTTACTATTGGGAGATTTATTTTAAATGGAAAATACATTAAATTTTGGAAAACTTATCTATTACTGATTGAGCAAGGGACAAAATTATAGAGAGAACTTGGAGAGAGTAAGAAATTATGATGAATTGGGTCTGAATTTTGTATTATGACAGTGGAAATTTTCTACAAACATGTTATTTTTCCTTTTTGATGAATATATGCAAATTAAATTACAGTCAAATATTTGAAGATCCAGCTGTGAATCCGGGAGGTTGCTACCGATCGCTCATTATGAGATTCTTTGACTTATAAACTATTAGAAGTCTGTAAGAGGGTTTATTATTATTTTAATTATCTGTCCTCTATTAGATATATGTCAGATATCCAGTGAAAATAGTTACAGGACATACTAGGTATCTATTCCAAACTTGGCTATCGTTTCACTTAGTATTGCCTATTTTATGTTTTTTGGGTTTTTTAGTTTTTTAGTTTTTTTTTTTTCAAGTGTCTAGGGTTAGACTAGTCTCTGGGTGTTCTTACATCTGAAGATGTTTCCTCCAAAAGCAATTGTCGTGATCTTACCTTTTTAATATATTCTGGGAGATGGAGAGTAGGAATAAGCTATTTACTATGGAGTGAAGAAACTGAGCCTGATTCTTTGAATTTCTGCCAAAGATGCTACAGAAAATGATGAATGACAATTTACATTCCTTAGGGATTCTCCTTCTAAGAGGCTGACAACAATTCTAATTTTTAGAATTGCCACCACTGCCCCTTGTTTTTGAGCTCCTCAGGGAAATACTGCCCAAGCTGAAACAATATTCTACTTCCTTTTTTGGAGAGGCACATATCCTATCTTCTTCATTCTTTCTTGTAGTCATTTCTGATAATTCACTTAGATAACTGAAAAATCATGTCTATGTTCATTGGGACACATCTTAAAGTTACCCTGGGTTCAATAAGAAAAGAGATGTTTCATAACAATTTGATGTGTAGGCTACCTTTTTTTTTCTTTTATAAATTAGTATCATTTAAGGGCTGTAGATTGCATGTATTTCTATTCACTTTAAAAAAAAATTCCTGTGTTGCTTTGGCTTGGTAACATTGGGTCTCCATACTGGGAATATTACTGGATGAAAAGAATCAGAATCTAAGATGACCTTGATTTGCCCAACAGAATTTAATAAGATGACGTGTAGTTAAGGCAAGGTAGGGATGAGTTCCTGCTTTTATACTTGAATATAAAGAATCAGTTCCCCAAGGGCAATATAAAGGAGACAAAATCTGAAGTCATTCATTCAACAAGAATTCAGGGTTTCCGGCTGACAGTAAATGCCATGTGAGGCACCTGTGCAATTCTGCTCACTACTTTGTGATCTGATCACAGTGGTATTAATAAGTGTGGTATCAAATGTGCAGCGTGATGTCTTGCTTTATGTTGCACTGGTCAGCTTTAGGTGCTACCCTTTGAAAGGAATAAAGACTATTCAGATCACATTTATACGAGAATAACCGAGACATTTTTCTAAAATTCTCCTTTACATTTAGATAAATAAGAAGTTGTTAGATATGACTGGACAAGGTCAGTCAGGCATCCAAATCTCCCCAGACATTAGTACTACATAAAATGAAACCCGTGGGATGGTGAATTATGAACAAGGACATTTTACTTTTCTCTCTAGTCATTAAAACTTCTAAATTCTGTTTGTTTCACAGGAGTCTGAACTTATAGAACTAAGAGAAACCATTGAAATGCTGAAGGCCCAGAACTCCGCTGCCCAGGCTGCTATCCAGGGAGCACTGAATGGTCCAGACCACCCTCCCAAAGGTATATTTAGAAATACTGCCATTTTTCATTCAATATAATAAATACCCATTTCATTTTATTTATTGGAATGAAGCTGCTTTTACTCAGTGGCACTGCCTTTTATAATGAATAAGTAGGCCTTAATGCAGTCAGAATGCCAGAAATTAAGAATAATAGATTTCCTTATCAATAATTTTGTAGTTAACCTTAAGGAATTTGCCTCTATACACACAATTTTCTCCATTTGATTTGGTGAAAGTGGGGTTGGGGAGGTTGCTTAATGCATTTATATCTGACTTCAAGCAAAACACACCCTGTAAGGAGTCTGAAAATCTAGATCTGTAAACAAAAATAAAATAATCAATATGGTGAAATATCAAGTAATAGGTATAAGGAAAATATCATAATGGATGGAGGCAATAGACACGTACATATCTTACAGAAATGTTAAAAACAGTAAGAAAAATGACCGAAAGTCTGCTTTTCATTATTACTATGCTTCATCAGTTCTCAACAATAATAGGGGCGCCTGGGTGGTTCAGATGGTTAAGTGTCTGCCGCTGGCTCAGGTCACGATCTCCAGATCCTGGGATCGAGCTCTGCATCAGGCTCTTGGCTGGCTCAGCGGGGAGTCTGCTTCACCCTCTCCCTCTGCCTCTCCCCCCTGCTTGTGTGCTTTCTCTGTCTCTCTCTTTCAAATGAATAAATAAAATATTAAAAATAGTAATAAAATAATCTTATTTACCACCATACCTTCCTTAGTTTCCCACTGAAGAAATGCTTTGTATTCATGTCGTGTCATTTTTTTCTTTGCATAGGTTCTACTTATTCATGTCCTAACTCATCAACAGCATTAAGTATGCTCAACTCTTCACCAGCATACCAAAAAAAAAAAAAAAGCTTTTCTAAACCCTGAATGGCCTATCATGTACTTTCCCATTTCCAGGTGAATCCTGGGACCATTTTATGGAATTTTTTTTTTTTTTTAAAGATTTTATTTATCTATCCATCAGACAGAGATCACAAGCAGGCAGAGAAAACAGGCTCCCCGCTGAGCAGGAAGCCCGATGCGGGGCTCTATCCCAGGACCCTGAGATCATGACCTGAGCTGAAGGCAGAGGCTTAACCCACTGAGCCACCCAGGCACCCCATTTATGGAATATTTTAATGTCTCCAACAGTCAGTCACACTTCAGACCTCTGGAATATGGCTTCTCCTACCATCAAACCAAAACTGTTCTCTCCAGGATCCATAATGACTTACAGGACACAAAATCCAGTACAACATTTTAAAATTCTTATCGTATTTGATGTGTAAATAGCATATTGATGTCCTTCTATCCTACCCGACACATTCATTTCTTCACACTCTTAGTTTTTCTCCGGATTCTTTGAAATCTCTTTCAAAGTTTCTTTTGCAGGTTCACTCCTTTGTGTCCATTTGTTAAATGTTGGTATTTCTTAAAAACCCAGTCCTCAACTGACTTCCTTTAAGATTTGGTATACTGTGAGTCTCTTCATCCCCTCTAAAAGTCTGTACAAACTCATCTAATCCTCTAGCTACAATTATCATTTATGTGTTGATAACTGTCAAATATATCTCTCCAGGCCTGGCTCATCTTTTGAGTTACAGATCTATAAATCTAGCTGCCCCAGAGAGAGCTGTCTTTGGTTATCTTTGGATGTCTGTTTGTCACACTAAATTCAACATCTTCTAGTTTGAACTTGTCATCTTCCCTCTTAGCCTGCTTTGCCTTCAGTGTTCCTTGCCTCAGTAAACAGTACCTCCATCCTTCTATATAGCCATAAATCTAGATGTCATTCATAAATCCTCTTCTCTTCATTCATTAAATCACTAAGTTCTATTGATTCCACCTGTTAAATATCTCTCGGATCTGTTCCCTTTTCTCTCATCCTCCTATCACCATCTCTCATCTCTCCCCTGAACTATGACCACAAACTCCTAAATCCTTCCTGCCTTTCATCCTGCACCACTTTATATCATTCTGAAACCAAAGCAGTTGTCAACAACATATATATATATACAGATGTCCCATTGCCCTTAGAATGAAATGCAAACTTCTTAACATGACATAATCTTTCTTCACCAGCTTTGTTCATTCAGCAAATATATTTATTGGCTGCCACTTACTAGCTAGACACTGCTTTAGACCTTATTCTCTGCTTTTTGTCATGTTGTATATTTCAGCTACCCTGAACTACTTCTAATTCTCTAAAAGTTCTTTTTGTGTTCTGGTTATATCTCCTTAAAATTTTCAACATAAAAACTTTTTGAAACCTTATAAGAGTTGGCCTAAATATGCCTCCTTGACCCTTAAGCTGGATAAGGTCCCCTTGTGATATCTTTCTGGAAATGCTGTCCTTCTATCCAAATTTGTCATATACATTGGTGCCTTAATTTATTTAAGTTAATTGTGTCTTAATTGGTGCCTTAATTTATTTAAGTTAATTTCTGATCAACAGTTGGATGGTTTGTTTTTTCAGTCCAAGTGGCTATGATGATGCCTTATCACACAAAAGGGGCTTATATGAATTTTGATTTTAAAAACATAATTTTTTAAATACTTGAATTTAAATTTTAGGGAAAAATTATATAAAGTGAGATATACTTAAATTGAAGGTAAAACTAGTTCTCTAGGGGCTACTTCTGTTAAGAATTTAGCAACTTTCCATGTGGGGGAGTTGATTTATATGCCACATGGAAAATTACTGCATATTTAAAGCTTATCTTAGAGCTATAATAAAGCAGCTTATGTTCTAAATCTTCATGTCGTAAATAGGTCCAGAAGGGATTTTAAAAGGCTTAATCTTTCTTTAACGCAGTACAAGTCACTGAAGTAAAACTTTCTGGAAAGATTCCTTTTATTGTAGCCAACAGGTACCCTTGTATACCTACTGGAACTGAAAAAAAGGATCTCCTCTGCTCTATGTGGGAGAGACACATACAATAAGCAAGATGATAACAGTTAATATTCAAATTGGTCAAGAAAGATTTAAAAACATTTTTATAAGATTTAAAATGCACAAAAACAGGAATTATAAATGTATATAGGATATTTAGATTAGTTTATGTGATATTAAAACTTCATATTAAATTCAGTGAACATAAACTGATTTTTACTATATTGACCATTGACATAACATGGAGAAAATAAAGTCTCTTGGACTAATTTTGTTGTTTTCCATTGGTTATTAAGGTGATTGTACAAGCTATAAACTTACAGTCTGAAATCATATTGAGATTTGGTTTTTGAGAATTTTATATATTTATCTTAGACAAATTTGTAACGTACAACCTTACAGTATATATTTGGAGTGGGGCAACACAGACAGGCCAAACTATGACAAATTCACATAATGAATGTAACTTTCTATTTTCTATTTGTGCATCATGTTTATTACCAGGCATGATAAATAATAGTAGTCTATAATACAATAAATTTATTTATTCATGCACAAATGTTCCTTGAACACCTAGTATATACTATCCACTCTATTAGATCTCAAAATATAAAGATTTCAAAAAAAGTCTTCAGGACTCAAGGGCTCACAGTCAACTGCCACAGAGATGTGAATATATCTCTGTATAACTTTAACTATATAGAAATACATCTATATAACTATATATGAAAAGTAAAGTAATGGAAAATTTTACTTTTATTTTTCAAAATATACTATTGTTTTTTAAGTCACTACCTCTGTGTACAAACATAGAATAAAATTTTTCCTTGTGATATGCCAAATACAGTTCAACAAAACGTAGTAAATTGCTATCAACAGTGAATACATTTTTAGGAATGTTAGGCAAACATAGTTACATTCAATGAATAATAATAATATTACTTACAAATGATTGTTGATTGCCTACCACTTGCCGTGGTTTGTTCAGCATCCCGGGTATACAATGGTAAACAAAACAGATATAATCTTTGTATCCATTAAGCTTTTAGTCTTGTGGGAGAGCAGGAAATAAACAATTGTGATCGTTGGCATAGCTGAATATGTATGCCAAAATAGTTGTGTTATAAAAGCAACAGGCCTAGGTGTCCATGGAAAACAAGGGTACCAGGGACCCTCCTAGAGGTTCATAGTCAGAAAAGGCCTTCCCCAGATAGCAACATTTAAAGGGATCTCCAAGGAATAACGATCAACTCATTTGGTAAGTATTGAGAGAGGACTATTCCAGAAGAGCCTTGAGATAGAAAATGGACTAGTGCCTTTATGGGACTGGTACAGTGAGCAAAGTTACAACACAAAGAACCAGGTTAGAGAGAGAATTACTGACCAGACTACTGAGGGACTTTTAGGCCCTGTTTAAGAGTTGAAATGCTTTCTTTCTTATTAAAATGGGAATCTGTTGAAGAGTCTTAAAGTATGGGAGTGATGATGTTTTCCTTTTAAAGAGAATTCTCTAGTTACCATCTATTGAAGGGTTTGAAGGTGAGAAATTTGGACAGCCATTCTTGCTGTCAATCAGGTAAGTAAGTGATAGTGATAGCTTGAACCGGGGCAGTGCTGGTATGGAGGGTAAGAAGAGGAAATGAATGGATAATGTAACTGAAATACAGACTTGTAAAATAAGCTTCTCCATTCACTCATATTGTCGATATCCATTGGGCCAACCATTCTCTACAAAGCTCTATGATGCCACATGTACTGAATCAAATACTTAAAAGCACTAGAAAGGAATTGTTAGAGATGAGTAAAATGCATCCCTTTCATTCCATGATATCATTGAAATCATTCCTTTGCTAATCTTTATTGGTAAATGCCTTCATAACTGAAAGTAAATAATACCCTTAAGGACTACTTTTGACTTACAATAATAAGAATTAACTCATCTTCTTAAATTTTGAGGGTTAATCAAAGTCAAATACAATTTATTAATTTTTGGATATAATAAAAACTCTGGAGTACTTTAACACCTAGTATAATTGCTTTATTTGTGAAAGTCGGATTCAAATAATGTATCTTGATCACAAAAGCTTATAGACAATCACAGCAGAAATTCAAAACACAAATAAATACCAGCATATTTTTCTTTTATTCATATAACTTCCATATTTGTTGATTAAGGGATACTGTGCTCCTTTATTGTTCAACCAAAATAGCACACATAAATAAATGCCTTCATTTAAATGTTGACACTAATAGTATTTTGGGCAATGTATTGGGCATGTAACCACAGTAAAGTCTCATCATTATTTTTTAAAGGACTTTTAAGAGGCCAAACTCTATGGATTCTGAAAAATTGTTTTATTTTTTCCCTCCTATAAAATTGTCACCGTGCTTATTATCTTAATGGAAAAATTAAGGTACTTACTGATATGTATGTATATGACTCTAAGGTTAGAGATATGTATACATGTATTACGTACCCACACATATACTCCCTTATTATATTTGAAAGTAACAGTTATAGTTTCATTGTCATGGGGTGTTGTAATGTTAAATAAAGCAGTCAACTGGAAAGGCTTTGCTTTTATACTATTGTTTCTATGGAAGCTTTTTGAAAGCTATATTATAATTCCTGACATCTTGGAAGTTCCACTGAGATTTTTTGCTTGACAAATCTTAATTGATGCTGATTAAATATAGTAATAGGTTTGGCTTTAAAGCAGACTTGACCTTAAAAAATTTTTATAATTTCTTAGTGTCTCCACTAACACTTATTATCAGTTCACAGTAAGTAGATGAAATTTCAGTTTCAACAATTATAAATCAATTTTATAAGCTGATTGTATGGAATAAGTGGGTATCTTCAAAATGTGATTAAATATCAAATGTTATTTTTTTCAAGTTATCTTGTGTGACTAAAGAAGCACTACATGCTTTTGAGAAGTATGGGAAACCCGTATCACATGGCATTTAGCACAACAGATGTTAGAATCTGCCTAGGTGTTGGATTAGCTCCTTTGTGTTTCATCTGTGTGACTCTGATGAAATTACTTTTCATAATTAAACTTACTTCAACACTTTGCTTTAAGAATAAAGTTAGATAAGGGATGCCTGGGTGGCTCAGTTGGTCAAGCATCTGCCTTCAGCTCAGGTCACGCATGATCTCAGGGTCCTGGAATTGAGCCCTGTGTTGGGCTCCCTGCTCAATGGGGAATCTGCTTTTTCCTCTCCCTCTGCTACTTCCCCTGGTTGTGCTCTCTTTCTCTCTCAAATAAGTAAAGAAAATCTTTAAAAGAAAAAAAAAAAACAGAATGAAATTAGATAATCCCAGGGCAGAGTAAACACATAGTAAAAGCTAGCTTTAATATTACGTGTTGTTATTATTATTACTGTCATTACTATTCCAGGTCACGGGTGGGACTATGGTGGAAGAATTGCATTGTCTTAAATATGTTTCCTGTTTAGTTTACACATGCAGTCTATGCAGTTTCTCTCTTGAGCACCTTTCCCTCACGGGTTCTTTGACCTTGGTTAAGTTACTTCTTTGCACTTCAATTTTGTCACCTGAATTGAATTGCTTAAATGACTTCGAAAGTTTGTTTTGACTCTATTATGGTATGATTCTGTGAAATGGAAAATTAATATATTTGGCTTCAGTAGCTTTATTCAAAGCACTGATATTAAAAAGACACAATTAATTCTCATGCTATTATGAGTTTCCATTTACTCCATGGAAGTAATCATTTGGAATAAATCACTTCGGAAGATCTGCTTGATCTAGGTATTCAAGAGAAATCACTAGCATAGCATTTCATTTTTGGATAAAACTCAGAATTCATTAAACCAGCAGAGCTACAGACTTATGAGATACACAGTGAATCTTAATGCCAATAACCCAGTTAATTAAAGCAAATAAGGTGGTACTTTATTAAACTTACAAATCCAAAACTGCACTGAGATGATCTATACAAAGCTGTGTTGACTTTTATTAGCAGACTTCCTCTCAGAAACCATAAAAGTCTTATTTGTTCACAGTGAAAGTCTTTGGGAGCTAATGTGATGTTCTCTGTCTGTTGCTAGATCTCCGCATCAGAAGACAGCATTCTTCTGAAAGTGTTTCTAGTATCAACAGTGCCACAAGCCATTCCAGCATTGGTAGTGGTAATGATGCTGACTCCAAGAAAAAGAAGAAGAAAAACTGGGTAAGCCCTGGTCATCCATCTCATTCGAAAGCTTATTAGTGCATGATGAGTCAGGTTTGTTTTCTTTGGAGATTTAGAAGTCTGTAGCAGTTTACAAAGAGTCTCCCTCAAGTGACCGGCCCCCCGGAAGGCAGTACTCATCACCGGAATTAGGGTGGCCTGGTGCTGAGGAGCAGAGGTTTTGGTCAGGACTACTCTTGGGTTTGAATCCCAACTCTGCCACTTAATACTTGAACCATAGGCAGGCGACTTCACTTTTTGAGGGGGCCTATGTTTTCTCATCTACAAAAACAGGATAATTAATACTGATTTTATGAAGTTGTAAGAAAACTGAAATGACATCTATTAATAAATGACAGGGCAGGGATTTACCATGGAGATGAGGGAGAAGAAAAGATGGTGGTGTGGTGGTGATACTGTGGCAGGGATGGAGGAAGAGGAGAGGAAATGAATTGTAAAGAAAGGGAAAGAAGAAACCTTGAAAGCCTCCCCACCTCTCACTTCAACGGGGTATAGTGTAAATAAAGCTTCACCTCCTCAGAAATCAACTACCTTAATGTCTGCTTTCTGGGTTTGTTTGTTTGTTTTTGTTTTTGTTTTTTTGGAAGAGAATATAGCAGAAATACAGAAATGTACTTTCCCAGAACAATGCTTTACATGTGCTAGAGATAGAATTTATGATGATACTAAGCAATTGCTAAAAAACTGAGGGGAAGATGCTATCACAGCAAAATGTTTAAAAACCATGCAGTAAAGGATTTTTTTTAATACCATAAAATGAAGGTAGTTTCTTAAATAAGTACAACTATTGATGAAATCCAAAACATAACTACCAGAGGATTTTGCTGAGTGCCTGCTATAAATAATGAAAGAAATATCTTTTTTGTTTTAAAAAAAAATGTTTATACAGGTAATATTTTAAAATACTGATCAGCCTTCATTCCCTTGATTTGTAATTCCACACTCTTTCATGTTTCTGCAAGGTGAACTCTAGAGGAAGTGAGGTGAATATAAACCGTGGACAATTTGGCATGCATCTATAAAAAAAACCCTACCTTGGCATGAATGCTATTCATTTTGGCAGTAGGCTTTTTATACCTTTCAAAAACAGATTACCTTGTATGTCTTTTCTTTGTGTCTTTTCATTTTAATCTCAAATTTTAAAAAGAAGAGGTAAAAAAAAAAAAACACTTTCTGAATAGAACTGTAGGGGATACCAATTCCGGTTTTGAATAGCATGGGAATTGAAAATTTGAATAGAAAAATCACAATTAATGAAGTGTTAGGTGAATTTGATTTCATTTTGCTTTTTAAGTTTATACTGTCAGCAGGACATGACTTGATTGTAGCGCTAAAGTGGCCCATTTAAAACAAATTGCCTTGAAGAGAGAAGCATTGGGAGTGGAGATCCCTTCAAGGTACTTAGTTTTAAATGAGTGCTCTGACAGCCATGCCCTTGACCTTGCACTATTTCAAAGCCTTCCGTGTTTGCGCTGCGCTGGATTAATATAAGAATAAAACAAAACACAAAACGCGGTATCGTTGTTTTCTAGAGATACCGTGCTGCACCTGTTAATACTCTGCTTGTACGTACTGACCCCAGGCAGTGGCTAGGATAGCACCTGCAAACTAACGCCCCAAAGCCAAATTCTCCACATGCACACAGACAAGAAAGGTCATTCCTGTCGTCTTTTCAGCTGAGAAGCTCATTCAAACAAGCCTTTGGGAAGAAAAAGTCCACCAAGCCTCCTTCCTCCCATTCGGACATCGAAGAGCTCACTGACTCATCCCTCCCAGCGTCGCCGAAAGTGCCCCACCACGCGGGGGACTGCGGGTCCGCATCCATGAAGCCCTCACAGTCGGCCTCCGCGTAAGTCACTCCCCTCCCGCAGGATGCTGAAGTCTCTTTTAAAAACAGCAGCAGGCCAAGCCGCTGTGTGTGTTGTAAATGCAGTCAGGCAACACCATCTGTGCCGGTGGTTTTCTGATCTACCTTAGAACCGTGGGCAGCCCTGGTTTCTCCTTCCTTTTTCACACATGAGAGTCTGCGTGCTTTGCGACCTCACGCTCCACTCTTCTGTGTCATCAGTCTCACTTCTTTTCAAAACGGCCTTTGTCCATGTCTCTGCCTCACTATGCATTCCATGCAGGTCGCCCCTTGTCTGGCCACCAAAGAAACGGCAAAATGGCCCTGTGATCTACAAGCATAGATCCCGGTAAAATGGCGTGTGATGCATGCAACTTGCCAAGATGCCGGTTCTAACCTCAGCAGCGTTTGCCTTTGCTCTTTCTAAAATCCCTCGCATGCATTTCAACGATAAAAACCTCCTCCTCTGTCTTCCTGGTTTTGAAGTCCAGCTTGTTTTCCTAAAAAACCAGGCTGTAATCCATTTGCCTTTAATTCCATTAGATAACCTAGCATAGCATTTTTATAGTAGCTCACCGTTTGATGTTACAAGAATGGATGAAACCTTGAGAACGTACAACATGTACTTTGATGAGGTGATTCTCTGTTTTATATACTGTTTAAATCAGATTTCTTCGGATGCCCGTGACAATGACTAGCCTAGCACTGTCATGTAGAACAGAGCCACTAATAGGACCATTTAAGACGCTTGTGTATCCCAGATAATTTCATCACTTATATAGGAAAGAGGAACCTACCACTATCATTCTGTAATCAACAAGGTAGTCCTCATATTTTTAAATGGGAAAGATACTAGTTCATCAAAATCAAGTTCTCACACCTTCTTTACTGCAAAACTACCCACAAAACAACAATAACAACAAAATAATGAGGAAGTAATGTCGATGACCTTCAAGGAGCCCTCAACTAGGCCACTTGCATGGGTTGAAACCTGTGATTTAGCTTCATTAGCTTTGATCTCCTAAATCAGCTGAGCTGACCAGGGAGATTATATAACACTCATCCATTATTTAAATGTCCAAAACTAATCTCCCTGATTTAATTTCTACAATATTTATATTGGATTTTCATGGTAACTTGAAGACAGTGTGGTAGCAAATAATGTTACACTTTGCACAGTTTTGCAAAAAAAAAATAAATAATAATAATCAGTTCTAAAAACATGAGTACTTTAAAAAAATATTTCCTAAATTGCAAATAGACCTTTAAGTCCCTTGAAGAATAGCAGAATGAGATGGTGTAATGCTATGCAGCCTCATGTATATCAGCCACAAGGATATTTTGAAGATTACTTGGTCTTGAATAATAATGGATTGTTTTTAAACTTCGGAAAAATAGGAAGAAAGGATTAAAGGAAAAAGACAGTTCCTGTTTCCAGTTTTGAACCTGGAAATGTATTACTGTTTGTAAAACTCTTTCTCCTTCTCTTTAGGTTTTGCTGGCAGCACAGAACCTCTGTAGCTGCTGGATAATATCGCAGTTCAGCCTTAAAGGAAGCATTGCTTTTCCTGACCCCCCTGGTTTCCCTCCTGGCAACTAATTTTGTGTTTGTTTCCTTCTTCAGGATCTGTGAGTGCACAGAGGCTGAGGCAGAGATAATTCTGCAGCTGAAGAGCGAGCTCAGAGAAAAGGAGTTAAAATTAACAGATATTCGACTAGAGGCCCTCAGCTCTGCTCATCACCTTGACCAGATCCGGGAAGCCATGAACCGGATGCAGGTCAGTGCTGACCACATAGCAGGAGCGAAGAGGAGAGACAAAAAATACTATGTTGTTGCCCCTCTTGGTTATTATAAAAACAAATCTCCCTTTGAAACCCACCACGGAAACAGTCTGTTTATTCAAACTTTGCCCCTCATCTCCTAATGGAGATGGAGCATTTTGTCAAAGCCAGGGTGGGAAGTGAGAGTACCCACTGGCCAGTTGCACTCAAGGGCCATTCAAGACACTTGTACCAGTGATTGGGTTCACTTGAGAGCTGAGTATGCCGAGAAACTACGACAAACGTCGCGTCTTCACTTTCCCGTGATTTACCTTTGTGTTGGCTTTTTCCCCTTCTTTTGAAATCTGACTTTCAGTTGCCTTTACCTATTTTGTATTGAGGGGGGGAAAAAAGTAATTAGGAAACTACAGAAATTGAACACAAAGGTTTCTAAATATGAAAATAAAAGTGATGTAGAATGCCATCTGTAGAAGTAAAGCTTTTGTATTTGAGGAAGCACCTGAAGGTTAATTTTAGAACCAGTCTGTGCTCAGGCTAAGTTTTCGTTTTATTATTATAAACCGGTAATTGCTGGGTATCGTAGAGGACTGAAATAAGAAAAGCTCATTGCTGAGCAGATTTATCTGCCACTGTGTATATTCACCAAAAGGTCTCAGTGGTTTTTAGGAGCCTAGCGCCCCCATTTTGAAGGAACAGAAACCCTTTCGGATGTTAGCTGGGGTTTTGAAATAATTTTAAACCACCTTTTTTATAACATTTCTGTTTGACTCTGGTTTTCAACTCTCCATGAGTTCAGGATATTATTACAGATGGAATTATTTACCTGTAAGATTTTAACAGTATGTTTAAAATGAGAAATTTGGGGGCGCATGGGTATCTCAGTCAGTTAAGTGTCTGTCTTTGACTTGACTTTGACTCAGGTCATGATCCCAGGGTCCGGCTCAGCAGGGAGCCGGCTTCTCCCTCTCCCTCTGCTTGCTGCTCCCCTGCTTGTGTGCACTCTCTGTCTCTCTCTCTGTCAAATAAATAAAATGAAATCTTCAAATGAGAAATTTTATGAATGCTTTAAAAATTGTTGTTCTTGATTCAAATGAGATCAAGTCCTGGAAGACTCCTCAAATATAAGGTATATTAAAAAAATACTTAAACAAATTCTAATGGTTAGTGCATCTATGTTTGTGAATACACAAATATATGTATGTAAGAAAGAGAGTAGGTTGACTTTCCTTCTATGGAGGAAATCCTGTTTTCATAGTTTATAATTGTTTACTTAACATATCACCACGTGCTTTATTTAATAAACCAAATAATCAACTCTGATAAAAGCATGGGTACCATTTTTCTCACTCAAAACTAGCTGGATTTTTTTTTCATACTTCCCACCCTCACAACAGAATGAAATTGAAATACTGAAGGCAGAAAATGACCGATTGAAGGCAGAAACTGGTAACACCGCCAAACCCACTCGCCCACCATCAGAGTCCTCAAGCACCACATCGTCCTCATCTTCACGGCAGTCGTTGGGCCTTTCCCTGAACAATCTGAACATTACAGAGTCTGTTACCTCAGGTAATTTTGTGTACACACCTGCCTGAATCAAATCATTCCTATGACTTCGTGAGGGGGGAGAGGGCTGGAATTTGGGGAATCTCACCCACCACTCTTCTCACTTTACCCTCATAAAAATGTGAGCCCTCTTAATTCTTGGAAATAGCCCCATTTCTTCTACTTTATTATAACTTCAAAAGAACATTCTCTGTGAAAGAGTGAAAGACCTAAAAGATCATGGTTTTCATATCATTTAAAAAATTACTTGTATTTGAGGAGTACCTCCTTAGCAATTATGAACACCATAAAGAAAAATAATGTTCTCAGTGCTGAGCATTAGTACTCATGACTATAATACTAGTAATCCCATGCAATTTTATGGTGTTTTAAGGGTATGAAGCCCATTGATGAGTATATCAGCACCTCTCTGTAAATTTGACCAGATCTTGCATGATGTTACCCAGAGAGAACATAAGGCTACTACATCACCCAGGGCACAGTTCTATTAAATTTTCAACAAACAAATGAAAAGAACTCACTGGATTCTGTTATTGTGTTCAAGGGTACTAATGATGGGACAAGGGTACAGTTTGATTTCATTGCAAATAGAATCATCTGACATAATGTTATCTTAGTATCTGACCAACTCTTCATTTATAAAGTGTAACAGCTCCTATGGCCCTGAATCATTTTATGTATAGAAGATTGAGTTTAGGAGAGGTTTACGTGAAGATCTATGGTAATTGCAAAACATAGCCACCAGATGACGCTTGGAAACCAATGATATACATGTTCCTGGGCAGCTGTAGATTCCATTATACAACTATATAGTTCTTCCAGGCTTGCCTTAAATGACACTAAAATATAGAAGATGAGGAAGAGAAACAGAGACACAGCGTGCTGATGTTGATGAAATTGTTACTAAGTCACATCTCTTCTACAAAGTCAGAATTTTAGTAATTCTACCGTTATATCTGTCCTTCATAATGTCAAATGAATGGTTCAAATGTATAACTTGCTTTCTTCTTAGAAAAGACAGGTGAGGACTAAAAAGGCAAGTAGGAACTCCTTGAAATTCAGGAAACCATTTGGCAGGTTTGGGGGAAGAGAAATGAATGCGGAGAAAAAACATCAAGTAAAATATATATCAATAGCCGAGAAAATAAAGAGATGTCATAATTAAATGAACTCATAAACCATACAGTAAATTAGAACTAGGGGACTGTGATAGTAACTTGGATGTGTAAATTGTCCCTAAGGTGTTATTACCCAAGTTTTTCAAAAGACGCTAAAAAAGGAAAAAACAGAAAATTTAAATGTATAGATTCTGGGAGCCCTGAGCAATATCCTGTATGTTGGCTTGTCCGTGATGAACCTAATGGAGAAGAGAAGCAGGTTCCATAGCCAAAAGCAGTCAGTGACTCTCTTGTCCTGGCTTGACTCCTAAGGAAAGACAGGGGCCTGGACAACATCATGGCAGGATTTCCCTGCTTGTTACATGATTTTGTTTTATCTCATTGAAATATAATAAGGTTTAAAGGGGGCATAGTTAGTACGAAAGATAACTTAGAAACTGAAGCCAAATAAAAATGAAACTAGAATTCATGTCCAGGAAAGACTAAAATTCATAAAGATAAATATAAATTAAATAAATCAAATATAGTTTCTGTATTCATCAGACTGAAAATACTGATGTAAGTGATTCAGAATTTGAGGCAAATTTTTGGGGGGGAGGGGTTTCAAAATTGTACTTTTTATTACTCATTTTATTACTTCTTTGTAGTTTATTATTATTTTATTTCCCTAATTATTTTTTACTAGTGACAATTGTATCTGAAGTAACAAAAGATTAAATCACATGACTAGGAGATGGTTTTCACCATCCTCACTCTTGTTTACTGGGTTCAAAATTAGAAATCAGAAGTCCCTTTACATTGGGGTTTTTTAGTAAAAAAGCTTTCTAGGGTTCATGATCAATTTGTTAAGAAAGGTGAGGGGTAGGCAGGGCAGTGGATAATTGACAGATGTTTGGTTCCTGATTTAAAACTGCGTATTCTATATATCCAGTAAAGACAGAATTTGAAAAGCCTGCATTTTTTTGGTCAGAATTTCACTTGATTATAACCAGAATGCCAGGTCTTTTTATTCTTCCTTCAAAATATTGACAGAGGATCATAACTTGTTTTCTGTAAAACAAACAAAAAAATAAAACCAACCCCCACAGAAAAGTTTTACGTCAAAAATTTGCTGTTTTCATTTTTTTCTTGGAGTTGTTTCTTCAGGTGATCATCTTATCAATATATTGGGAACAGGGGGAGACACAGAGTGAGTCATGATGTGCTCCTCCCCCCACTATGAAGAGAAGGAGTTACAATAAACACACAGAAAAAGGAAATAATGGTTAGAACAGCTGACCTTATTAAACACTGAGGATAAAGTGCTATAAAAGTATTATCTCTGATGGTCTCAGTAACCCTTGTAGTAGGTGCTGTGTGAGCCCCATTTTACAGATGAGGAAACCAAGACTGAGGAAAGAGATGATAATAATTTGTTCAAGATCATGTGACTAGTAGGGGGCAGAGCTAATATTTGAACCCAGGTCTGTATGAAGCCAGTACCTGACCTTTTCACTACTATATTCATTTTGCTTTAATGTACCACATATGAGATGTCGAGGAGAATCATACATTCATTTATTGTAAATACTTACTTCTGCTCTCAGGAGAAATTCCATATTTTCAGCACAGTTTTTTAAAAGTAAGCATAACATGAAAGGAGTAACAGGTTCCAAAGCAAACCTGAACAGAGAAGTAGATCAGAAATCAGACTAAATGTCTTGCTGTGGAGAACTAGGCCGCTCACGACCTGGCCCTTGTCCATCTCATCATCATTTCATACTACTCTTCCCCGCCCCCAACTTGATCTCCACAGTCTGGCCATGCAGAGCATTTGTCTGAGCCTTGAACACACCCAGCTCTTTCATCAAGGCTTTTGCATCTGTTCTTGTTTTCTGGACCTCTTTTCCTAGGTCTTGCTGGTCTTATATCCAAACAGCGCCTCCTCAAGGAAGGCTTCCAGGATGACCTATCCATGTAGAGCCAACTTCCTTTGGTTATTGTTTCACTGCTTCATGCCCATTATTTCTTGCACTTAACACATTCTAAAATTACCCTAGGAGAATGTATACTCCAAAAGAGCAAAAAATTCATTTTGCTTCTTAGCATTCATTCCTAATGCCCAACACAGTTCCTGGTATCATTTATGTTTAATAAATATTTTTGAATATTTATAAACATTTATGACTAATGGAGCAAAGCACTAAAGAGATAATTTGGTCACAGCCTACCAGAAATTTAGATGTAGGCAGTTAACGGTAATCTATTCTAAACTTCTAAGAAAAAGAGCAAGAGGATTAAGTGACACTTACCAAAGAGTTTTATTTTTGACTGAGATAAGCAATAAGGTGAGAGGTTGTGCACATACTGATCTGGTAAAATAAATTTCTAGTAAGGAGATTATCTTTGATGACTTAAAAATTTCTAGCAAAAATATCCATGTTCCTCAAATTCTCTTGATTTTTTATTATTATGGTCTTAGGGCATTATTTTTACTTCTTCCTTTGTGAAAGTACATACTCTTAATCATTAAGATAATAGGACTATTTCATTTTCAGAAGGTATTTGATAAAATTATCATTTCTCTGATAGTACGTTCACAGCCCTTATCTCTATAAATTTAGTCAGAGTAATTGAGGCCCCATGTCACCAGACACATGTGCTTTTTAGCACGTAACTGAGTTCTATAATAACATTATTGTCAAAGGAAAACTTATATGTGAGATAGTTGATGTTAATAATTATCCAAATGGACATTAATCTCATATAATATATTTTGAAAATTAATCTTTAATTCCATTTAAAGGCTGCTGCTTTGAAGGTTAGCTAGCTTTGTCATGCTTCTGTAACTCTTAGCTGATTACTAGAAATACTATTTTGGTTTTTAAAAACTATAAGCATGAAGGGTACAGGAAAGTGATAATTAATGTACTTCCATAGGGAAGTATAATGCTATGGTTGAAATTCAGTAACAGTACTTAATAATTATAGATATAAGGTAAGCAGTAGTAAAGCTAGATATGTGCCAAATGCTTGAAAATAATTTCAGTTGACAGCCAATCTCAGCACCTTAGCATTCGTAAATTGCATGGGTATTGAGCTTGGATATTTTAGGTTGGTTAGAAAAGTCAAATTGCTTTTCAGTTTGTCACAGTTACAGTGGTAACTGAGTATTACTCAGGTATTCCTCAGACCTGGGTATAGTAGAAAAAGAAACCCTTTATTTCCTCATCTAAAGGCAATGGCCCAGCATGTGGGTGAAGGTCTTTGAAGGCAGAAATAAATTCTTAGACTGAACCTTCAGTCCAACCACACTAATTCATCTTCTTGAAAGCTGAGATTTTTCAAACTAGTTAGGCTAGAATGGGAAACAAAAAGACCAAATATTCCCACTAAAAGTTATAAAACTATGAGGGAGAAAACAATGAAAATAAACAGTTCCAAGCTAATGTGACCTATTGTGGTGTGAAACTTTGGTAGATATTTTGCTAGATGATGCTGGCGATGCAACTGGACACAAAGATGGCCGCAGTGTGAAAATTATCGTCTCCATAAGCAAGGGCTATGGCCGAGCAAAGGTATGTTCTTAATCTTAAATTCTTTAACTGAATTATGAGCATGACCATGAATCAAATCTATTTTATATTTGAGTATTTGTCCTAGTAAATATACTATCAGCATGTGTATCTTGGCGTTGGCTTAATATGTTCTAGAAGCATGGAAGTTAGGGACTTAAAAGAAATGATACTGTCATGTAAGTAGAAATGTGTTTCAGTACATCACGTTCATTCACTGGCAACAACCATTCTCATTGGTTGTCAACCATTCTCATTTCTAGAACTCCAAAAAAGTAACATTGCTTTCTTTGACAACAACATCTTGTCTAACATTCTTTTGGTGTCACCTTTAAAATACAGGTGTATTTATGATATGTAGTAACATGTTACCAGAGTTATCAATATAGTCATTGTACGAAGAGGAGACTATAAGCTATATGAATATTATAGACCCTGGAAAGAAATATTCACTGAACTTAGTATGATAATTCCATTGATGCTACGTGTATGTATCATTTTTAAGCAAAGTCTAAGTTGATGAGGAAAATATTTTAACTCTTCTGGAATCAAATTTTGTTATCATGACTCAAATCCTTTTTTAAAACTAAAAGTATTATTTTAAGCTGAATTTGTAGTTGAGTGGCCAAGAACACAAATTTGTAAGTCTCTGAATTTTTTCCTATCAAAAAGAAAAACAAAAACTCTTTTGGAATTTTAAAATATTTGAAGTTTTGAAGCTTGAAAAGTAAGATAGCACTTGTGAATTTTTACACTGGGCAAATATCCAAAGAATTCCAGTGCCATAAACTTTCTGCTTGAGCTGCAGATTTATGCCAGATTTTCCCAAGTGGGTCTTCATGCAAAAGGCTGTAATAGTCTCAGTGAAGCTTAAACTTGCTCTAATTTAAAAGCAGCTACTTACAAAACATAGTATAAGCATTCATTTTGCCTGGGTTACAATAATACGGGAAACAAGTTTTCTTTTTAAAAATAATTCTAAAAAGTGATGTTTTTGAACATTGAAGGTAGTTGTCTTAGTCTTCTTGAGCTTCTATAACAAAATACTATAGATTGGGTGGCTCAAACATTAAAAATGTATTTTATCATCACTGTGAAGCCCAAGATCAAGATGCTGGCTGATTTGGTTCCTAGTGAGGAATCTCTCATTGCATTGCAGATAGCTAACTTCTTGATATGTCTTCTTATGTCCTTTCCAAAGTGTATGTACTTGGAGAGAGAGAGAGAGAGATGGAGGTCACTCTCTCCTCCCATATTTATAAGTTACTAATCTCATCATGAGAGCCCCGTTCTACTGACCTACTCTGACTTCTTCCTAAAGTCTCCATTTCCAAAAATCATCACATTGAGGGTTATGGCTCTAACATCTGGATTTTGGGGAGACATAAACATTCAGTCCATAAGAGTACTAAAAAAAATCACAGTGGTTTGCTGTGAATTTCTTAACTCCTTCTGGAAAAGGTATTGGCTTCTAACTTGAATTATATCTAAATGATGACAATAATCATTTACCCTTATAGTGGTAAAAGTTATAGATAAAAAAATCGAGGCTCTAAGGTGGCTACGTGACTTACCTAAAGTCACATTTCTTTAATTAGGTGGTAGAATTAGGTAGGTAATTCTGTGTTGTAGAATCCGTATCTCCTAATATCTGACTTAGGTATTATTCTAACACCTTTTAAGGATGAATGCAGTAGGCGACCAGAATCAGGATTGTGATGTATCAACTAGCTAATTGTATCTACTGGCCTCATGCTTACTATTTTACATGACCATTTCCAGTCATCATAAAAAAGGCTCCACTTAGACTATAAATCTTGAATTATTTGTCCAATATATGTAGAAAGTCCTCAAAATCCCATGCGTCAAAAAATAATAATAAATTTGGGACCATTCTTTGTATTGAAAGGGATTCTTTGCTTGATAAAGTGAGTCCTGTAGGATTCCCTGACATGTACTTTTAGTGGATTTTCTGATAAATTCAAAATGGGAGCTGTTTTGTAAATATGTGAATGCCATGCTACTGTGGATAACACATTTCTCAAAGATGGATTAGACTTTAGAGGTGTCTGGGTGGCCCAGTCGGTTAAATGTCCCTCTTGGTTTTGGCTCAGTTTGTGATCTCAGGGTTGTAAGATTGAGCCCCACATCAGGCTCTGCGCTCAGTGGGGAAGCTGCTTGAGATTATCCCTCTCCCTCTGCCCCTCCCCCTGGAGTGCTCTCTCTCTGTCTCTAAAATAGACAAAATAAATCTTAAAAAAAAAAAAAAAAAAAATTAGTTTTTAGGTATAATCTAAATTAAAAAATGAAAAAACTGATTTTGAGACTTAGCAAAGATAGGATCAAAAGTGAGTAAGATGAAGTTCTAGGGCTCATATGAAATAGTTCTCGTCCATCTCTGTCAACCTCTCCCTTCTACCAAGCTGCTTCTCTTCCAGAATGCATTCACTGCATTAAAGCAAAAGACTATTTTTCCTACTACCAAACAGGTCATGAATCAGTTTTCCATACCATTCCACTTCATCTCATCTCATTCTTTCTTGTTGTTGTTATTGATGTTACTTCATTTGTTTAGTTTCTTGGGATATGTTTTATTTTATATAATAAACTATACATGTCTGTTACAATAACACCCATAGCCTAGGCTTAATAAACATTTTAGTCCCTAATTATTAGCACATTAATATGTTTTATTAGAAAATAGAGTAATAAAACAAGACCTATAACTGGGTTTTATCATGTTTTATTTTATTCTTTTTTAGGATCAGAAGTCTCAGGCATATTTGATAGGATCCATTGGCGTTAGTGGAAAAACCAAGTGGGATGTCTTAGATGGTGTAATTAGACGTCTCTTTAAGGTAAGTTGTGCAAGATATCTTGATATTAATTTTTGTATATGCTTTATTTTAGATGCTTTCCTTAGCTTTAGTAATGTAGACACATCTGCTTTTTCTTGCCTCCATTTCAAGTAGTAAGGAAAGCTTTCTCTCTTTATGCTGCGTGATACTAATAATTCTTTTATTACCAATTCCAAAATTCTTGACAGCTAGCAGCTAGCTTCATATCCCCATGAGTTTTTTATTTGTTGTAGATGAGTTGAATCTCTGTTTTGACTTCCTTTTTGTATGTATCATTTTAGGAATATGTGTTCCGAATTGATACATCCACTAGCCTTGGTCTGAGCTCTGACTGCATTGCTAGCTACTGTATAGGAGATTTAATTAGATCTCACAGCCTAGAAGTGCCTGAACTGTTGCCTTGTGGATACCTTGTTGGAGATAATAACATCATTACTGTGAACCTGAAAGGTAAAAACAAAAACGAAAAGAAAACAAACTGTATTTTTTTAAACTGACATCCATTTTTTTTCTTCCTCCCTTCCTTACTTCCTTTCTTCTTCCCTCCCTTCCCACTTCCCTCCCCTCCTCCCTCCATTTCTCTCTCATTTTTTTTTTTAGTTTCACTTCAGATTTTCATATTTGAAAACTATGTTAACTACATTGATAGTTTTAGTATGAAATGGGACATATTTATTTTTAAAACACTAAAATCTTACTAAAAACACTAAAATTCAAGTAAATGAAATTCTTTGACTTCTGGGATGTGAAACTTGGAATGTAATTTTGAAGATTCTCCAAGACTCAAGAATAGGAATGTGATTTAGGGAATTTCAAATTTCTAGGTTTTCCCCCATTATCATCTTTCATTTTGGGAGGACACAAAGAATTCCTTGCCTATCCCAGAGTAATAAATTCATCACTGTACTTTGATTTAAAAATATGTGTACCCAGTAAATACCCACTGGGGATAGAGAATAGATGTTAAGAATTGGGGCTAAGAAATTCTGTTTGCTTTGGATGATGTGATTAATTATAGGCAAATGGAATATCTGAAGTATACTTGTCTCTCTAATTCTTTGTTCATATATGTTAAAGAGCCGGAGCAGATCTATATAAACTGGATTAATAGAGGAATTTGCCAACATTTGATTTTGTGATTAAGGTACTTGGGTTAGTAGTAAAAGGGGATACTATTGCTTTGCTTCTTAATTCCTTGCCAAATATCACAATTCATATTCTTCAAAAGCTTAAGTGGTTGAACAGCTGGGGTTTGTAACGAGAGATAGAAGAGAATGAAGAGGAAGAGAAAATAGGAAGAAAAAGGGAAGAAAATACACATATATTTTAATTTGTACATTTGTTCTTAACAAAACTACCACCTTCAAAGGGAAAGAAGATATTAGAATAGAATTTATAGTAATTCTTCCACTTCTCTCTGGAAACATAAGTGGGAAACCTGAAGTAGACAGTGGAGGAAAGCCTGAACAAAAGGAAAGCACTTAGGTTCATTTAGATGTTCACTCTGCCTTATTAGTAATGCCTTTTTGTCTTAAAATGGCAACACATGGTTGTGAGATAGAAATATCAAGGAAAGCATTTTACAAAGCCCGCATTCCCATGACCAATAAAACTCCATTGTCGGTTAACACTGTATTTTAAATTCCAGCTTCTGTAGAACAATAAGGCATGCTGTTCCTTTTGTTTTTCCTTCAGGGGTAGAAGAAAACAGTTTGGACAGTTTTGTTTTTGATACACTGATTCCTAAACCAATTACCCAGAGGTACTTTAACTTGTTGATGGAGCATCACAGAATTATACTCTCAGGACCCAGTGGTACTGGAAAGACCTATTTAGCAAACAAACTTGCTGAATATGTAATAACCAAATCTGGGAGGAAAAAAACAGAGGATGCAATTGCCACTTTTAATGTGGACCACAAGTCAAGTAAGGTAAGTCACAAATTCCTAAGAGAATTGTTGCTATTTATCTGTAAGTGTTTTAAGCAATTAAGCTATAAGATTATGTGAAACCCATTTTGAACATGGAAACCTACCACCTCTCTGACTAAAACTAAAATCTGGTGGATGACTCAACCCTGTTTCATGAATTTAAACAAGACTGCTCTTCGGTAACATTCAGTTATCAGGTACTTCTCAAGCATTGAGAATATACAGAAGAAAATGACATGTCTCTATTGTCTGATTTCTCTTAGACATCCACCTGGGAAGTGTTAGAGTAGAAAGAGATCCATGCAGAGTTCTGTAGAAGCAAGAGGGAAAAATATAATTCTTCCTAGAAGAATTAGAGCTTTATAAAAAGTCAATACTTGACCTGGGTCTTAATAAATAGGTGGGAATTAACTGGGGTGTTACAGCCAGGAGGATGTGGGTATGATTAGAATAGTCTAGGCAGAAATTCTGGGAGTAGCAATTTGCTTACATTTCATTTCTATAGGATTTCTGCTTAAAAATCTTAGGAAATTGAACCATATTTCATTTTGCCATCAACGAAGGTCTAATGTACCATAATAATCAGCTTAAGCACTCTCAGCTATTAAATAGGCATGAGGGGGCTATAAAACCTAGCCAGTACTTTCATATATTATGAGTAAAACAAAGAATCCAAAAAAGAAAATACTTAATGCCTAACATATTCCTAATGCTAGAATATTTTTGCCTGTAAGTACACATTACATTCTCAATCAATTCAGCCTAAGCTTCTCTTAAGAAACTTCATCTGTTATGGGCAATACCTTGATGGAATCCACATGACAATGGGTGATGTCATTTTTCCAAAGATAACCTGGTTAGATGATCTAAACTAACCCAGTGACTCAGAAAATTCAGGCTTACAAATTTTCAGAAATAAATTCAAGTCACAAAATTTGGATTGGATTCTTGAAATAAACCAGACATACAGTCTAGTGAACAAAACATTTCTGAATGTTATGAACAATAAACCAAAAAACTGGACAACCTAAGAGCAACAGAAAAGCTACAGAAAAAGCAAAGGAAAAAAATTTAGAACTTACCATGACTGAATCTGGAAGAAATAGAAAATCTGAATAGACCAATTACTTGTAAGGAGATTGAATCAGTAACCAAAAATCTCCCAAAGAAGGAAAACTCAGGAGCAGATAGCTTCGCTGGTGAATTTTGTCAAACATTTAAAGAAGAACTAACACTAGTCCTTCTCAAACTCTTCCAAAACTTTGAAGATGATGGGACAATCCAAAACTCACGAGGCCAGCATCATCCTGATACCAAAACTAGAAAATGATACTGCTAGGAAAGAAAACTATAGACAATATTCTTGATGAGTATAGATGTAAAAGCTTTCAATAAAAATACAGCAAATCAAATTCAGTAGCACATTAAAAAGATCTTTCACAATGATCAAGTGGGATGTATCCCTAGGGTACAAAGATAGTTCAATATAGAGAAATTAATCAATGTGATATGGCACAGAGAATGAAAACAAATCATATGATTATCTCAATAGATGCAGAGACAACATTTGACAAAGTACATCATTCATGATAAAAACTCTTAACAAATTACGTTTAGAAGGAGCACTTCTTAACAAAGGCCATATATGACAAGCCCACAGCTAACATCACAATCAGTGGTAAAATGTTGTTAGATTTTCCTTTAAGATCAGGAATAAAACAAAGACGCTGACTCTCATTATTTCTATTCAGCATAGTCCCAGAAGTCCCAGCTAGAGCAATCAGGCAAAGAAGAAGAAGAAGGAGGAGGGGAAGTAGGAGGGGGTGAAGAAAAGGTATCAGAATCAGAAAGAAAGAAGTAAAATTGGCTCTATATGCAGATGACATGATTTTATATATAGAAAATCCTAAAGACTCCACCCTCAGAAAACCCTGTTAGATTTAATTAATGAATTTAATAAAATTGCAGAATATAAAATTAACAAACAAATCAGTTGTGTTTCTATACACTAACAATGGATTTACTGAAAAAGAAATGAAGAAGTTGATCTCATTTATAGTAGCATCAAAAACAATAAAATACTTATAAATTAAACTAATTTTACATAATATTTACATAACTAAATTTACATTACATTGATGAAAGAAATTGAAGAAGACACAGATAGGCATCGCATGTTCATGGGTTGGAAGAATTAATATTATTAAAATGTCAATACTAACAAAAGCTGTCTATAGATTCAATGCAATCACTATCAAGTTTCCAATGGCATTTCTTATAGAAGTCCAAAAAAAAAAAACCTCATAAAATATATATGGAACCATGAAAGACTCTGAATAGACAAAGAAATCCTGAGAAAGAAGAACAAAGCAGGAGATCACACTTCCTAATTTCAACTACTATAAAAGTATAGTCATTAAAATAGTAAGGTATTGGCATGACAATAAATACATAGAATTGGCAGGCACAATGAAACAGAATCAAAACCTGGAAATGAACCCAAGTCTATACCATCAACTAATATTGGACAGAGGAGCCAAGAAGACCCAATGGAGACTCACTGGAGTCTCTTTAATAAGTGATACTGGTATAATTGGATATTCACATGCAAAAGAATAAAACTGTACACATATTTACATTACTCACAAAAATTAGCTGGCAGTGGATTAAAGATTTAAATGTAAGACCTGAAACCATGAAACTCCTAGAAGAAAACATAACAATAAAACTCCTTGACATGGGTCTGGTAATGATTTTTTGGATAGGACACCTGAAGTACAAGCAACAAAATAAAAAATAAACAAGTGGGAATACATCAAACTAAAAACTTCTGCACAGCAAAAGGAACCATCAACAAAGTGAAAAGACAACCTACAGAATTGGAAAAAATATTTACAAACCATATATATCTGTGAAGGGGTTCATATCCAAAATATAGAAAAAACTCATTCCACTCAATAGCAAGAAAACTTATGAACCAATTAAAAAAATGAACAAGGGACCTGAACAGACATTCTCCAAAGAAGATATACAAAAGGTCAATAGACACATGAAAAGATGCTCAACATCACTAGTCATTAGGGAAATGCAAATTAAAACCACAATGAGATATCACCTCATGCCTGTTAGAATGGCCATCATCAAAACGATGGGAGATAACAAAGGCTGGTAGGGATATAGAGAAAAGGGGACCCTTGACTGTTGGAGGAATTGCTAATTGAAATAGTCAGTATGGAAAACAGTGGAAGGATCCTCAAAAATTAAAAATAGTACTGCCATATGATCCAGCAGTTCCACTTCTAGGAATGTATCCAAAGGAAATAAAAATACTAACTCAAAAAAATTTGCACCCCCCCCATGTTTATAGAAGCATTACTTACAATAACTAAGATATGGAAACAACTTAAGTGTCCCTGAAAAAAGAAATTGGTATATAGATACATAGATGTGTGTGTGTGTGTGTGTGTGTGTGTGTGTGTGTGTATACGCACAATGAAATATTATGCAGCCATAGAAAAATGAGGAAATTCTACCATTTGCTAAAAATGGATAGACATTGAAGGCATTATGTTAAGCGAAATGTCAGAGGAAGACAAATACTGTATGATTTCACATATATGGAATCTCAAAAAAATAAATTACCTGAGGCAGAGGATGGGGGACAGGAATTGTAAGAAAATGGTTAAAAGTTACAAACTTGCAGTTACAGGATAAATAAGTACTTGGGATATAATATTAAAATGATGACCATAGCTAACACTGCTGTATGACATATAGAAAAGTTGTTAAGGGAGTAAATTCTAAGAGTTCCCTTCACAAGAAAATTTTTGTTCTTTTTTCTTCTTTTTTTTCTTTTTTATTGGATCTATATGAGAAGACGATAGCTGAACCTATGGTGATAATTATCTCACAATATGTGCAAATCAAATCATCATGCTGTTCACCTTAAGTTTATGCAGGGATGTATCTCAATTATTTCTAAATAAAAATGTTCTTAATGGAGTAGTTTATTAAGTCCCTATCACTGACCAACTGAAATCTGAGGCAGATAGCGGAATTTCCTTTGGCTTGGCTTTCCCAGCTGTAATATGGGAAAAAAAGGGACATGGTAAGAGCTAAGAGTGTGGGGGTAGGAGGCGGGGAAGGGGGGGAGATATATATATGTGATTAATGTATAATAGATTTCAATGAAGATTTCTTTCACAAATACAGAGCCATGCAGACATGACCCCCCAAACTTTGTTCAAAACTGTCTTATATGTTGTTTTCAAGGAGAGCAATGATGTATATAAAATATTCTGGGATCTCTTCAAGTTAAATAAATATAGCTCATGAATTCCAAGTATTTCCTTGGAACTCATCACCTTTCAAATTGTTGAACCACCCATTCTCATTTCAATGAAATAGAGACATGTAACCTGAGGTCGAATATTTGACTCTTCTCTAAGCAGAAGTATAAAGAGTAGAGTCATTTGTTTGCTTCAGCCTACATGTTTAATGCCTCCCGCAAATTCTAGGTCTCCTCAGAACGTTACTTAAAAAAAGCATTTTTACCACCATTCTTTTTTCTTCTCAGCCAGAATGAGGAAAGGATTATGTCCCTTAACCATCCTCAGTGTGTTCTTTGGATTTCCCCCAATGTTGGTATGACTTTAGAAGTGACTTCCTTATGAAAAAAACAAGTGGTTGGTAAAAAGACAATAGATTTGTTACAGGAAACCATGTCATTTTGACAAAGTTGGGGATCACTTAAAATCAAGTTTTTAATCAAGTAGAGTGATTTGGGCTTCATTAGGATATAGTTTAACGTGGTATAATAAAACATTTGGTAATTTACACTAATAAAATTTATACTTAGAAAATTATTTACACTTAGAAAATTATTTATACTTATAAAATTTGCCTCACTCCTCAAATCTACTGTTATATTTAGGTTCTTTTTATTTCAGTCAAAAAACTGTTTAGAAAAAAAAAACTGTTTAGTGTTTGGAGATGTTCTT